GCTGCCAGAGGTTGCTGTGTTTGGCTCAGCCTGTGTCATCCCAACGTGGGGATTTGTCAGCATCAGGAAACCACAGGCTCCACCTGCACCAAAGATCAGCATCAAACCCACAACCAGCAGCCTTAAAAACATGGATTACAGCACAGAGCTGACTCCTCTCCACTTCCAGGGACTCACCTGCTTCAGTGCTGCTCCAAAACTGAGCAGGATTTGGAAGGAATGGAGGAGAAATCTCCTTTGGGGAGGGACAAACCAGCACAGGAGCCCCTGCTGCAGTGTTTTGGGGTGTCCCAAATCCCCCTGGGAGCACAGCTGCAGGGAGAACCCCTCATGCTGTGCTTTGTCACAGAAAAGACAAGTCAGAGCCAAGGAGACATTCCAAAGGGACATTTACTTCCCAAGCAATGCCCAACACAGTGTCATTCTCCTTCAGTCAAGGCAGGGCCCACATCCCATGCCCCATGAGTTTGTTTCCCAGAGGAATTCCATGGGAATCATGGCCTGGGCTCCTCCTTGCCCTTGTGGTAGTCGGGTGGTGTGTACTTCCCTTCCTTGATCAACTTGTCTCGCTGCTCCAGGATGGTTTTCAGCCTTGCAGCCTGGCAGAGGGCACAGAAATTGTCACAGAGGGACACAGAGGGGTCACAGCCCTCAGGATCCCACCCCAACCCTGTCCTGGGGCTCCTCATGTGGGTTTGAGCCTCTTGCCAAAAGCTTTTGGGCTTTCAGGATGTTGCAGCATGTTTTGGACTGGTGATATTTGGGTTTTCAGTCCTGGAAGGAGTTTGTTCCGTGGCTGGACCCTCCAAACTCCTGTGTCCCCTCCCTGCTGCCCACCACGTCTCCCCCCAGCCTGGTGTCCCCCCTGTCCTCTCATGTCCCTCTCACTCCCATGCCCCCTGTGCCCCCTCCTTATGCTGGTGTCCCAGTGCCCTCTCACTCCATTTTCAGCAGGACCCTCCAGCCCCCTGTGCCCCCTCCCTGGTGTGTGCCCCAGCACTCTCCATGTCCCCCCCAAGTCTCTCCCATCCCCAGTTACCCCCGTACCCCCTGCCCGATGCTCCAGTGCCCTCACACTGTGCCAGAAACTTCCTCGCTCCCTCATATCTCCCCCAGCCCTGTGACCCTGTGCCCTCTCTCCAGTTCCTCCCGTGCCACCCCCAGTCCCCT